CTCTGTTGAACCGTCCATTACCCCTGCTCTTAGCAGCAATGATTTTATGGGATTCTTTCCGATAATGGACTTGTATCTGTGCTCGTCCTGTTGGATCTCAGTGCTGCATTTGATCCAGTTGATCAGAATATTCTTTTAGAAAGACTTGAATATTTTGTTGGAATTAAAGGAACAGCTCTAGACTGGTTTAAATCTGATCTATCTGATCGAATTCAGTTTGTTCACGTTAATGATAGATCTTCCTCATAAATAAATGATGTTCAAATGTGAGTATTTAAAGCAAAGATCATCCAATAGAAAGCAGATCAACGTTATAATCAGACACATAATAATTCAGATCATCTGGCAGATCTATGCTTCCATATCTACAGCCTGGTTTTTATCAATGCTGTTTCATTTTAAAAAATGATTACCTTTAATATCTCCTGTATTTTTGTTGGAATGTGATGCTTCCTAAATCTTCTCTCAGCATTTTGAAAAAGCTGCTTTTCTGTTTTTAGTTTTCACAGATTCAAATTTAAATCAGTTTGGCCAGCAGAGGTCGCCCTTTTACTGTCATACTTTATCTTGGATTATAGAAAGATTTGAGGCAACATGTGGAAGGATTCAGCCATCAAAGGGAATGAAATGTTGCTCTGGTTTATCTTTAACATCTCCGTCCCAATAATCATTTAATGGTTCATTCAGTAAAACACTTTGGTTCAAATTCAGTCTCTTAAACTCTTACCTGGTTTAAAACAGCTAATCTGGTCCAATCCAGGTCAGATTACTAGTTTGGCGTTTACTAAATCAGTTCCAGGCTGCGGCGTAATGAAAGTGCCCCTGGTTCCAGTTGAGCAGTTCCTCCTTTCTGTTTGGGTTCTGCAGGAACTCTGCCGAAACGTTTGAATGGATGGATTTATTACTTGGATTCACTGATGAAATAGATGATTTTATATGAATTCTATTGGAATGAAGTTCAGTTTAACATTCAGCATATTGAACGCACCCCTCAAACTGTGGTTCTGTTGGTGTTTTAGAGATTTGGCTGCTTTCCAATCCACTCAGCATCTTTTAATGTAAACATGTTCTAATAAATGCTGGTTTTAGTTTTAGATCTAATCTGCATTTTCACCTTTCATTGCCAATAAGGACCAAACTCTGAGTAAAGCTGTTATAAAAGGTTCTGAATGAATAAACTCAGTGGAATAGAATATAGAGAATATAGAATCTAAAAGCAGATGCTGTCTGTGGGGTAGAAAGACTGCAGACGGTCCTGAAACGGGTCTCAGATCCAGCAGTAACGAAGAAGCGAGCATCAGAAAAACTCTGACCTTCCCTGAGGAAGGAGGGCTGCTGGTGATGAACCAGCTGAGTCAGAAGATGATGGCTGACTCAGACTCAGCCAGAAATAAACAGTCAGAACATACCTCCTCTATAGACTATAGATCTATAGATTTATCATTGAACTACATTCAAAGCTGATCTTTATATTCAATGAAAATATGTCTGCAAAAATCTCTGATTAGTTTACTTCTTTATTAGTAGTTTGTAAAAAAAAATACCGCACAGTATTTTGTTTGTTTACTTTTTGACTCTGTCCCTTTTATTTTTATTCATGTTTAAGATCCATTTTATCTGCAGCAATCCCACATTCTGGGACAATAAAGGGATTTTCTGTTCTATTCTATTCTGTTGTATTTTTGCAGTAGTAATATTAGCATTATTAATATTAGTAGTAGTAGTAGTAGTACTAGCAGTATACTAGCAGTAGTAGTCATTTTCGTTATCCTCGCTCTTGTTTTTATCCTGTTTTCTTGTCTGTAAATGTCAATAAAGTAAAGAAAGAAAAAAAGAAACACTTCCTGTTTGAGGGAATCCTGGGTGCTGATTGGCTGAGGCGGCTGCCTGAAGTGAGCCGCTACTAGAGGTGTGTGTCAGAGGAGAAGCAGAGGAGAAGCAGAGGAGGAGCAGAGGAGGAGCAGAGCCGGAGCAGAGGAGCAGAGGACCAGAGGAGCTGACACCGAACCGGGATCTGGATCAGGTGAACTGGACTCATCTTCTAGGCTCTAAAGAACCGCAGATCCAGGGAATCTGCAGAAGAACCGATTCTTTCAGGGAATCGTTTCAGGTTTTTAAAACGTTCTTTGTTGGAGATTCGGATCACAGAGCTTTATGGGTCAGCGGTTCCGGTTCTGCTGACCGGACCAGCGACTGTGACGTCATAGAACCGACTCAGGTCCTGGTTCCGTCTTTCTGTCGCGTGTTGCTCCTTTAAATGCTGAAAACAACCGGAATCATTGCGTCATAGCCTTTATTGTAGCAGAATTTAATGTTAAAATTAGGAAAAGGATAAATGATGAAAATGATTGCAACATTATTATCTGTTAATGGGTGGAAGAAGTTAAACCATTAAGATCAGTCATATGTTCAGATTCTAGTTCATCTTTAATTAGTTTGCAGTATAATCACTCAGAAAGCAGGCCAGATATTTTAATAGAAATTCAACTATATAGAATAAATATGATGGGTTTAGTTATAAATGTTGTATGGATATTATGCACATTATGGAATTAAAGGAAATGAACAAGTAGATAAGGCAGCAGAAGAAGCTGCTGAAAATGTGTCAGCGGATTTATTTGTTAATTTTAGCAAATCTGAAGTTAAAATGTTAATTAAACAGAAAATAAAGGATAAATGGCAAAACGAATGGGAGAAAGGAAATAAAGGACGTTGGTTTTATAAAATTCAAAAGAAAATTGGAGAAATGAGAAGAACAGAAAGAACAAGA